TTTGTTTCAAAATTTGAAAAAGTTAAATCCAGAAAAAAATAAAATTCTCTGGTGAAATAAATTGTAACAACTGGAGCCTTAAAGTCCTGTTTTTAATTTAAATTATATATATATATATATATATATATAATGAAATGAATTAAGTCTGAAAATTATTTAATATATTTTCTGTTCATATGTTATTTTTATAGATACAATTTATTCAAGTAAATGCTCTGCTTTTAATTAAACAATATTAATTACATTTACCATGTTTGAAAAATTTTTGAAAATATGCGTTCACTGACAGGAATGAAAATTGTTATAAACATTTAATGCATCATTCCCCAATGTGTGGAAAAATAACACTGTTTGGTACTGTCATTGTTGGTCATGCAAATACATGATAATGGCATAGTTATGTCACTTCTGCTTGACCAGTATCCAATTTTTGTCTAAATTTGCCATTCAAACACACGGACTGGGTTGGCCTTATGCCTGCTACTGACTACTGAGCATGTAGTTCAATTCCAGCTGGGTCTGTCATTTTTTTTTTAAACCCGTGCAGTTGGAATTTTTAAAATATCAAAAGCAGAACACAGAACTTAACACTTAACTGTTTCTTTTGTAATGTTTAACCTTTCATTGTTCAGTAATCACTGACTTAGTGTACTGCTGGCACTATGTTCCAATGCTCAATATCACCTATGGCCATCAACACTTGACCACACGTTCACATGAAGTTCCCATGAAACAACAAGGTACAAGCTTTTTATTTAATTTTTCTTGCATTTGTACAAGTATTTTCTTTTCTGGATATAAAGTGTATAAAACTGTCAAATGTTCTAGTACTGCTTTTGACTCTTCTATTAGCCATTATGTGTTTTTTTTTTATCTGAATATATAGGTTTTTATATATGTGTATTTAGAGTGATGGAAATGTTTTTTATTCTACAAACACAGTCAACACATTGTGGTCATATATACTGAAGTAAACTGAATAAAGCTTAACAGCAGTACCATGTCAGTCATTTTTATATATATATATATATATATATATATATATATATATATATATATATATATATATATATATATATATATATATATATATATATATATATATATACAAGTGTTTAGAGGTACAAAATTTATATACAGTTTTAAAAACTAGGAATTTATTGATTTTAATTTTATTAGTCTCTAATGTCTTTTCAACCAACATTACATCAGGAGACAATCGTTGGATCATTAATTAACGAAAAGAACAGTAACGAAAATAAAGAGCAAAAAAAAAGGGGGAAACACGATAAAATAACAAACAAGTGTATATACTTATAACATGTAAATAAATTAGTGAGGGACAGTTAAAAAAAAAAAGTGTATATATATATATTTTTTTTTTAACTGTCCCTCGCTAATTTATTATACTTATACTAATACTTATCAACTGCTTCTTCTTCTATTTGCTGTATCCATTCAGGCTATTGGTGGTCATGGCTCTTCACAATTTCCTGTCCTTTACAGCTCTTAATAATTTTTGTCTTTTTGTTTTCTCTCCTAAACCCTGTTCTGCTATCCATTTACTCAAGCTCACTAGGTAGGTTATGTATTCCTTTTTCTTTGTCCCTCTTGGCTTCAATCTGTTCCACTGTATGATGGTCTTTCAAAGGGGTTATTCGTTATTCATTCTTGCCACATGGGAAAGCAATAACAACAACCTCATATTATGAAGAAATTGAGTGTATGAATGAAAAAATGGAAAAAGAACCATCGTAGACTTGTGAAGAGAAATGGCCCAATTTTGCTGTACAACATCACATGACCACACACTTTTCAATCAACTGTTCAAAAGCTGCATAGCTTGAATTAGTAAATTTCACTTCATCCTCCATATTCACCTGATATCTTTCCTACTGTTTATCAATTATTTAAGCGTTTTGAGTTTTTTTTAGAGGTAATTGATGCATTCAAACTGCTTATCACATCAAAGGATGAGAATTTTCTTAAAGATAGAATCAAGAATTTAGAGATATGTTGGAGAACATTCATTCATCAACATGGTGCCTACTTCAAATAAATAAATTAGTTATTTAACATCTCAGAAACATTTTATTCATTTCCTATAAAGTTTGTCACTTCATGTTTGACAACCTAATATTTCATTTCTCTTGTATATCTGTTTATTCTTTCAGACAATTTTAATTCAATGCTTACAATTTATTCAATGATCCTTTCCATGGTGACACTTATCAACTGCTTTTTCTTCATGCAGTATCTGTGAGGCATGAATATATATATATACACATATTGGCAAAAACAATAGACTACTCACAGGCATGCGTGCAAACATAGGAAGTGTGTGTATGTGTGTTTGTTTGTATGTGTGTGTGTGTACATATGTGTATACTAATTCCTTATAATAAGACAGTATGTATATATGGAGAGGGAATATACGTATGCATATGCATGCTGACAAAAACACAAAAAATGGAAACAGATCTTAGAACACATAACATTAAAAGATAAGAATACAGGTATCTTTACTCACCCTTTCTCAGACCAGTCTTAATTGTTTTATTACCCTTTATGCAGAAGAACTTTTTCACTGCCAGTTCAAGGAAGACATTTGGGTCACTAATACACAAAAAAAAGAGTATGTCTAATATTGAGAATGTTTAACATAGAAAAAAATAAGAAAAATTAATTACTTTTGATAATATGTGGAAATATCCACTTTTTGCTTGATGAAGTTCGCGAGACTGGAAACTTTATGGAAAATAAAGTATAATATTTAAAAAAAGAAAATCCACATTACAACCAAAAACGTTTGTAGTTTCTCTCTTCTTTTAAATATATACACTTTTCTCTTGTTCGAACTATAACCTCTTCCCTTTATATATATATATATATATATATATATATAGTACAGGTAATAAATCCATTGGTATATTATCCAAGTAGATCCTAGTAATAGAAAATATTAAAACTGACCCATAAAAAGAGCTCAATGTATTTATTATAACAGAGCATATAAATCACACAACAAAATCCCAAATTACCTCATCTGAGGTTGGGGGTATAAATCTGTTACAACCAATGAAAAGTACATTAGTCTTATTCAACCCCCCCCCCCGGCATTTTGTTTGACTGAAACATTGAAATTGATAAATTCTGTATCTGTCAAAGCTAAATTTTAAATGTGTAATTCCGACACAAGCACAGTCTATACACTGGGGTTGAATAAGAATAACATACTTCTTTTTGGTTGAAATAGATCTATACCCGCCCCCCCCATATGAAGTAATTTTGGATTTTGTTGTGTTATATATATATATATATATATATATATATATACACACACACACATGTATATATATATATATATATATATATATATATATGTATATATATATGTTTGTGTGATCGCTTATATACTTTACTTAAGCAAACCTTTACCCATCCATATATACTTATAATATTTACATCTATATATGTACTCATGTGTACATATATATTTACATGACCATACATTTTATTTATATATGAGAATACACTGAAGCTCTTTACCAATTGTACAGCTAATCTAAACCATTTCTTCTCACTTGAACTATCCGAACACCCAAAAAGATCTGATCAATACAGATTACAGTTCAATCAACCTAATTGATTATTGCTGACAGCATGTTTTCTAAAACTTACTTTTTTAGTTGTTGCGCATTTTGCAAATTATTGGCCGTTAAATGTTTCTCAAATGTACAATCACAGAATTCTTAAGCAGTTTTGATTGTGACTTATTAGGCCATTACACGAGAAAAAAAAACAATAATGATAATAATTCACATCTACCTTTTCATTCCACTTGTTTAACAATGATAAAGAGAATGAGATTGATATTATCCATTTAACTGATGGCAAATTTTAGCATGAGACAAAAGATATGTTCTGGTGATAAAATGGAAGCTGTCAAAAATAATTGACTAACAAAATAAAATAATATAGCAGAAACCAAATAAATCTATTGAAGATCAATATCTTCAAACCAATTATTCAAATTCAAGAATCAATAAATCCTACTTCTTCTGTAATTCTATATGCATCAAAAGAGAAGAAATATAGCAGATGGAGCAGGAGCAATAACATACTGAGAACTATGCAAAAATCATTTTTTTTACAGCTTATCTGCCTTTAAGAGGTTATTTAAAGTTGAAACATATTTTGGAATTGCAAGAATATTTTTGAGATAATAGTAATTTTCTGATACAAGTCTTACAACTTAACCCATAGCTGGCAGAATAGACATATTCATACTTTTCATAAGTGCTTCACATTTTCAACTAACTTGAAGTGGAATGACTACTTCAAATCAGTAGCTGTATCTACCGCAAGGAAAGTTGGGTCACTATGTCATACCAGAAGGTTTTTCGCGTCAGAGTCCATCTTGCACATTTACAAATCTACCATTTGCCCATGCATTGAATACTGTTGCCATATCTAATCTGGTGCTTCTGCTACTCATCCTAAAGTTCTTGACAAAAGCCAAAGAAGCATCTGCAATCTAAGCAATGTTGACTTGGCATCTCGACTTCGGTATGTTTCTCACCGATGTAAGGTGGCTTCCTTCTGTCTTTTCTAAAAATGTTTTCATGACAGCTGCTCTAACAAGCTTTTTTCCCTGGTGTCTAAACTATAACTACCACTTCTATTCTGACAGTTCCTTTTCTTGCATTTCCACTTGTGGAGCCCCCTTCTGATTCCTTGCTTCAATCACCATCTTCTATTTTCTTGAACCCCCATTCATCTTTTATCCTTTCCTTTGTTCCCCTTACCCAGTCTTTTCTCCCACCTTTACTCTCTGTAAGCCCCTGTTCACCAGTGGCATTCCCATCTTGCTTGGTGTGAAATGATTAAAAAAAAAAGAAAAGAAAAAAGTGAATATTACGAACACAACTACAATTCAAATTTGGCTCTCTAATTACTCATTCTGAGCCATTATTTATTACACCACCTGCATATATAAGCTTGCAGCATCTGGTCTTCCCAAACAGTCACCCATCTAGGTACTGACCAGGCTTAACATTGCTTAACTTTGGTGACCAGACAAAAACTGGTGTTCCAGCGTGATATGGTTGTAAGCCTCCGTAACTATGGAAAAAAAGTTAATACAAATTGACGTGGTTCTAGTAAATGAAGTTAAAGTATTCCCTGAGGTGTGCAGCTGAAACCTGTGTACTGGTAAATGTTTATGCACATAAGAAAACTGACATGACTCATGGCTTAAATATCAAGATTCACTACTTCATCTTAATTTCTTGTACGAAGATGATGTCAGATATGTGAAAGAAAAAGACTTAAATTTTGACTCATGATATTTATTTTTGCTCTTGCATTTAAAAAACTTCAAAGTTTCTAAATGTTTCTAATTGCAATGTGGAAATTAGCTGCTTCCTTACTGATTATTGACCAAACATTTAATGGCAATGTTGGTTGAAATTTATCTTTTTATTAAAAATTTATTTAAAAATTATCACTGTTTCTAGTAGTTTTCCTTCCAGATTTTTTTGTTTTTGGTAGTCTGGAAAATTAATAGCTAGAATGATACCATTATTTTATGTTCCAGTTCTTTGTATGACCCCCTTTTTGTAGTTGCTGCTGGAAATCTTCAAGTATTGTGTTCTGTATTATGTCTTTGTTTGCAATTCTGCAACACCAGTCTAGAACAGTGATTCCCAACCAATTTTGGGCTATTCCCCACTTTGGTATTTATAAAATTCTGGTGCCCTCCTGTAATATTTAATTCTTACATATTCAAAATTTTAATACATTTCACGTGAAGGAAGCTTAAAAGGCCATTAACTTGGTCACTAAACAAGCCTCCAAAGACCGTAGTGTACATGAAAGAGAAAAATTAAAAAAAAAACATAAAGACAGTTAAATATATGTCATTTAAAAATATATAATAGAGAATTGAAAGGAAGAAATATAAAATATTTGAATGAAAGCTTATTCTGTAATATACTTTGATCATTTTAATCATGAAATAATAATGTAAAATGAAATTTGAGCTCACTAGAATATAATTCACTGTTAATAACTCATTCTCGAATTGCCCTCTTATTCTTCTGTTGGTATAGTAAGCCGAAGAGTGTACATCTTATGTATACCCCACCAAAATATTACCATGCCCAACTGGTGGGGCATGCACCCCATGTTGGGAATCATTGGTCTGGAGGGTCAGATGAAGTATTATCTTCTCTTAAAGAAAACAATCCTTAATCTTTCTACATAGCCTGATTGGTGATTTTATGGCAGCTGTAATTTGGAGTGAAATAAAGGACTTTGACCCTTGCACTGTATTCTTGTCTATTTGGGTTTGTGTTTGTTAAGGAAAAAAGTAGTAGTAGTAAGGAGAGAATTATTTTTTAGAGGACCAATTCTTCTATTTTTCTTGTTGTTTTCTCTCTACTCATCTGTTCCCAGATGCATCTGTTGCATATTATATATGTAAGCATTCACATTTCTGTCATTAATCTTTTGCATATTTTTGGTAGATATTCATATGACCTTTTTTGTTCAGTAACACCTAGCCCTTTTTAGAATGAAGCCTGTGGGTAAATAGGTGGTTTTTACTTATACATGTCGGCAGTCACCAAAATGTTGTTGGGGGTTCACTCACATCATTGCAGCAGAAATTAGCCTTGTGTTCATGGAGATAAAAACATACTTGACATAAAATAAAACATACAAAAATAACAGGAAAAACATAGTAAATTGTATGTTACTGTCATACAATTTATTTATATTTTTGTGTGCATTGGTGTGTGTAATTTTAGGTTACGAATGTTTTATGTTACATGCAATAAAAGGGAGAATTTACTCCTTAGTATTACAAACAAATATCACAGAGAGAATTTGGATATGTGTTAGCCATACCAAGGTAAAGAGATTGAATTTAACGTATTTTGGCGGGATGTCCATATTTCCAGCAGGAACAGTTTTTGTTGCATGCTGGGAGTATTTTTTATTATTTTGAATTTTTATTTAATTTTGTTTATACGTTTATATGTTATTGTTTTATTTTATTTATAATTTTCATTATTATTATTATTTTATACTTTATTTTTATTTATTTATAATAATAATAATATCCCTACAAGCCTACACATGAATTTTGGCCAAAGAGTATTTTGTATAAAGATATCAAGAATTCTTCTTTAGAATTCTTCTTTAGAAGTGGGGAAATTTCAAAAGACCATAAAACTTTGTTGTATTGTTCTGGGGGGTATCAATATAGATTGGGAAAGATTAATCCTACTAAATCTTACTGAATTTTACTTGATATATTTCAAGTTTCAATCTTCCAGGAGACTTCTTCAAACTAATTTTATGGATATTAATTATTACTTTTAATCTGTTTTTTCTTTCCTTATTCTCTTCAAAGATTAATTAGTTTCCCTGATTTTTTCACTGTTCAATTTGAATGCTAATTAATTATTTAATCCTCATTAGGCATTCTTAGGCAGTAAAATATTGAACCAGTGTTACCACATTGTTATATTCAATCATGCAGCAAAATGTCCAACTAGGGTTACCACATGTGCATGTTAACACCTCTAATCAATTAAGGTGAAAAACATGGAAACTATGCCTTGTATAACATCAGGGTAACAACATCACCAATATCATAATAACAATAATAATTATAATTATAATAATAATGATTCAACATTATTTACCTGTCACCTGGTTCACACATGATGTCAATTAAGATTAATTTTGAGCAATATTAATAATATTAAAAACCTAATAATGGTATATTTTGTTCATTTTGTGCATTTCTAGTTTAATGCTGATCTGATTCTTATGTGGTAGAGTTAAATGGTGTTAATTAAAATATAAGTTCATGTAATAATGCGTGAGCTTGGAGCACCACCTAGAAAACTGAAAAAGCACTGAATTGGAATTGAGACAAAGTTTCTAGTTTCTTCTAAAGTCGACTACAACTCTATACTTCTAATACCTCTGCCTAAAATTCTGAAATTTTATTTACTATTTATTTTTTTCCTTTCCTCAATAGGAATAGATAGCTTCACCTACTGTCCGATTCCCACTCCTCCCTTTTGAACAGGAGTAGAGGTGTATCCTTTGTTTACTCTTTAAGATTGAATTTCCATTCACATATAAATAATTTCCCTTCTCTTTCACTTCCAGTAGCACCTTGATGGCATTATCTCCTTGCTTGGGTTGGTACCTCTTACTCTCAAACCCTCTATCTCGAGTGGCTCTTGGACCTTTTACAGGGTGAATATCATTATTAAAAAAAAACAAGATTAAAGATTGCCATTATTTATTCTGTGAGGATTCTCTGAAAAGTTTTTGATTTTTGAGGAGTCTTATTGACAACATGCTTCAAGAACAAAATTTCCATTGACTATGCCACTACGTGAAACCAACATAATAATATTGATAATAATAGGTTTGTTGTAACCAAAACTCACCTCATTTATGAGTGAAATGTCAATTATTAAATAATGGTATGAATGGGGCTGGCACCAATGAGGGAATAAACCAGACATTTTGTTGGGAGATGAAATAGAAAAAGAGAGATTAATCATTGATGTATCATGGATAGAGAGTAAATGGAAGAAGAGAGAGTAATCAATTGTAACTGAGCTTTGAGCATGCAACACCTTTGGAAGTGGGACATGGTCACAGTCATATAAGCTGTCATTAGTGCACTTGGTACAATGAGTGACAGGCGAGAGGCATGAATAAAGAAAATATTGGCATTGATTGCTGAGTGGAACTGTTGCAGAAAGGAAACCTCTAAGGAATGGCAAGAATAATCTTGAAAGTGATTAACTTTTAGCGTCAAATGAAAATAATTGCATGATACCTAAGGTTACTGACCATGGCACACTGTCCGTGCATTAATTACCAGATATTATGATTCTGTCAGAAAAAATACTCAAATAATAATATTACTACTACTACTACTACTACTACTACTACTACTACTAATAATAATAATAATGCTACCACTACAATTTCTACTACTACTTATTATTATTATTATTATTACTATTATTATCTTATTACAATTTTGCTACTTTCGTTTCTTAGCATGTATATCCTATGCCCACCAATACCGCATGAATAATTGCATATTCCATTTTTATTGTGCCAAAAATGGAAAAGGTATATTTGTTTGGTTTCAGTAAGAAAAAAAGTAAGAAAGAAAGAAATTAAGATAAGATAGAGAAGGTGATAATGATCTCATGTTTTTAACATCTGCTTCAGTGAAATGGAAAAAAATTATCAGTTTTAAGTCTTTTCATTTTTACCCTCTTACTTCTTTTAAATAATGACTTGCATTGATATTTATTTTGGCAAAGTTGTTGTGCTTGAATGCTTAATGAGGCAATAGGAGAATTTCCATGGGTAATAATCGTAGAAATTGTGAGAAGCTTATTCAATCATTGACTTATGAATTTTTGATTCACCAGAAAATTTAGATAGAAAAAACTGTGAAATTTTTAAGGTTACTATCAGTTATTATTATTATTATTATTATTATTATTATTATTATTATTATTATTACTACCACTTGTGTATGTTATGTTTTCTGCTTTGTATCTTGTAGAGCCTGGTTCAAGCTATGGTCATTTGGCCCTGTAGGAGAATTATCATTTAACTGATAGCACTTTTCTTTGTATATGGGATGTCCCTAGTAGGGCTATTTTCTGAGTAACTCGTTTATTGACGTTACCTGAGACACTGTTAGTAAAATTGTCCATTTCTGTTCTCACAAAACCCAGAACTCTGATTACTATTAGTACAGTCTCAGTCTTCATTCCCCACATCCTGTTAATCTTGATCTCCACATCCTTCTATTTGGACAATTTCTCGAGAGTTTTTTATGGAGGTGTTTCTCTTAGATGGTACTGCTACTCACATTAGTATGTGCGCTCAAGGTCAACCGGCCAACTGCCTCTTTATACCATAACTCGCACGCATGTTCATACTTCTGCGATTACTGTCTTGCACTTGGCTCACTTCATTTGCTTCTTACGAAAACCGCAAGTTGCTGATTACGTATTCAAACTTTCTTGTTACTTCTTAGTTATAACTACA